GAGCACTAAAGCACACTAAGAATCAACCTCATTACAGCCTAATTTCTATCTAAAGTATTTTTTATCTATCGACAGGATCAAACTGATGCAATTCCTATTTTGTATCCTCGAAATGGTTACTAACCACTTAATACACAGTTCAAACACAGTCAAAAAAAAATTTAAAAGACAATTAAAACATTTATTAACTTAAAAACTATGCCTACATATAACAGCTTCAATAAACTTAGCTTATTGCTATTGTTTGATGTACACATTCCTCTGATTTAAAAATATATTTTTTCACCTTTGCCCCTCCCCAGAAGCAAAGCCCTGAGAAGACTCGATACCCAATAGTCAATATTTGATTAGTCTGTAATGTTGCTACTACTTACAAACCTGTGTCTATCATCTTCTAGCAGCACCATTATCATACATATTCATCAGCATGATGATGGAAATTCAAGGCATCTTATAAAGTTGCTGAAATCTGAGCTTCTGCTTGTTTTCTCAAGTCTTGGACAAACATAACTTTAGGGAGAGCTGAGCAGAGGCATAAAGAAAGAGAAGCTTGCATTTTCATCTTCCTTTCATCTTAGTCATTCAGTCAACCATTCAGTGCCCTATTCAGCAGAGCTTTTCATTATGCAAAAAAATGCTAATCCTTTCCGATGCTTTCACACTTGTATAAACCCCCATTCCTTCCACTGGAAAGCAATTATATCAGTTTACCTTTCTGTCAAAAACAGGATTAATATTCCAAAACCCGAATCTCCTTTGTTTTTCTATCTTTTGCTTTAGGAAACTAGAGATTATTAGAAGATGTTTTCCTTAGAGCAAGAATACAATATTTTAAATATGATTCTGTTAAGCCAAAGAAGAAAAGGGGAGGGGGGACTTCAGTTGCTGCGGAAACTCCTTTCAGTGACAGAACTGACCTTCCCTTTGCAGAGGCCTGAATAGAATGAGCCTCACTCTGGTCTATTAATCAGAAACAAATTATGAAAGAATGTGGCTGGACTGGTTGACACTATCCTGTCTTGGGAGACTCAGTAACAGCCTAGTAACAATGTCCTCTTCATGGGTAATGAACAGCCGTGACAAATGGGGGCTGAGAAACTATTTATTTGCATATGCAAATTGTCACACAAAGGAAACATGTACAAACAAGTGTCATTGTAAGGTGGATTAGGCAAACAACGCTTTCTTTTTAGGACATTCTGCAGCCCAGAACATTAGTCAGCACAATTAAACCAGTCTCCATGGAGACTAATGAAATTTCACCATGGTATGAGTTAAATTAGATAGCTAGTTATGTGTTTCCACAATCCAACTTGAAATCCATTATTGTCTCAAAACAATACAGCAATTGTGCCAGGCTGATCTTTGCCAGCTCAACAAGCTCCAAAGTTGACAATTTGCATATGTTAATATAATTAAGCACTAATTACATGAAACCTGTACATATTCACATGCACTTTCCCTGGGCACTTTTCAATTTGAACCTTGGCCAAGTCTTTAACCCTTTGAATTATTTCGGAATAGGGAAGCTCTGCCTTGTGGGTACAGCCCCAAGGCAGATGCAGGAAAAGCTCTTCATTTATAAATACAAAGCTTAACCTGGCTTCTCATATTTCCATCAACAGAGACAGAAAATATTTTCAAATATGCTGGGAGAGAAGGCTCTCTAATGCCCCAGCATTGCTACATTTTAAAAAATGAAAGCACTCAAGATTAGGCTAAATAAAATGTTACAGATTCATTTATTGTCACTGTCATATGTTGAAAGTTCAAAAGGGGGGGGGGAGCCCGGATTTGATGTCAGTGCTGTGACAGCAATAAAAAAGGAATGAGAAGAGGAGAAAAAGAGCAGCTAGGAACTAATGAGCTTTACATAAATATATGCTGAAGCAATTAAGCAGTGTTAATTACTATGACAGCAGTTAATTGAATATAATTAGATATTTTAAGCCACTGACTAATGCACAGTTAAGATTAATTTTATTGAGATTAATTGTAAATAAGAATAGATTAACTGTGTTTTGACAGGCAAGGAGAAGAGCAGGACTCAGCACAGACCCCCAAAATCATATATTATTTTAATGTCACACCTCAGAATCATCTCAATAAACACGACTTTTCAAACCCAGACAGGAATCTTGAAGAAAAACAAACAGCTTGCAAAGATTAAAGAGCCTTTTGTCCTTTTTTCATGTACATTTCTTTTAGCAGACTAAATTAAGCGAGTCTAGTGTATGTTTTTAGGAAGGAACATTTCACACTGAATGGAAAAAATGTTATATCACATACGAAATCAATGCAGCTGTGCGGAACTTGGTCCAGATGGTCTAAGCCTATAAAACAGCATCAAAATGATAGACAGTAGGGCCTTCCCAATATGCGATAAAGTCACAACCTTGTATGTGACCTAAATTTTCTGCCATGTATGGTTTCCTCCTTGATCGCTTTCCATTTTTAACTAATCATGAATATTCAAAAGACCACTCAATAAAAACTACCAATGCACATCCACTTTAAAAGACTAACATCTCAGTAAAAGATCCCTTTTCTTAATTAATTCAATGCAACTAACATCACTCAGCCTCCATAGCAGACTTTTAATATCACTTATGTTAACTAGCTTAACATGCTTATTTTTAGATATTCTTCAAAGAAGACCTAAATAATACTCACTGCAAAATAATCCAAGCGTGCTGGTGGTGGTGGGGAAAATGCATAAAAATGCTAACAAATCACTAACAAGAGAAAGAAGCCTCAACTGATTTCAAAATAAATCAATAAGTGATTAACACAATATTTTTAAAGCAGCACAAAGTATATATCATATATATGCATATATTCAATACCTTTTTATCTCTAAATTGAAAAGGGTTTTACAGTATTGCGCATGCCCCTACATTGACTATGAACTTCTTTGCAAAGCCTTTCGTCTTTTAGAGCGAAAATCCAAAAATGGTCTGTGAAACAAGGCTACAACAAGCCATTCTGCAGTGAAAGATTTTAAATCATCCAGCCTCTTCTAATAGACTTGAGACTTATTGAGGTAGAAACCATAAAAAATGAAGAAGGGAAATTTAATCCCTGAAATATTGATTTGCACATTAATATCATATAGGCAGAGGGCAATTTGGCTTCATGGAAATGACACATTGTCGACCCTTGGTGAAGTCAGAGCCAATCTAACTGCTGAACATGTCTGAATCTCAAGAGTTATTAAGGGCTTCCCTTCTTGCCTATATGACTTTTCTCCAGCCTACCAATGCAATCTTAAATGTATTATCTTTAAGAAATAATTGTAAAACCTCAGGGGTTTTCCAGTTAATGGAAGGAAGGCTAAACCACATCAGATTCTGAAATGCAACATTAAACCCTTGCAATCAACAAAACCACCTCAATTCTCATCTATCCAGTGCAGGATCTAATACTGTTATTAGAGATAATCAAATTCCATTGTGTAAATTTAGGCTCATAGTCAGAATAGAAGCAGTAAATTCTGCAATATTAAACAGTGATTCTCTCAATAGTTCTTTACATGGTCTCTGCTGGTGAACAATAAAATCTTTATATAAACACAACCTTATGTCTATTGTGAAAGATACAAGGGATGTATTCCCTACAAGCTTGCATTTAAGGTAGTCTCACTCCTAATCCTACCAGCAGGTACTACCACCACTGCTATTGTGACTTATACAGATGGTTTACTTGACCTTTCTTTGTTCTTTGAGTAGATTTCACTTCTGTAGATTTATAAGTATTCTATTTAATTGGCCCTATATGTTCATTGCCATTAGAAGGAAAACAACTAAATACATGTTTACTTTGCAGAAACCCTTCAAAGCCCAAGGCAATGCCTATAGATGATGCTACAGCCACAGCATGTAGGTCCTACAGTATGAATATTCAGCCAGGCTCACTGAATAATCCAAGTGAGTCCCAGCTCTCAAGCCAGGTGCAAGAGGTTAAAAACAGCTGGCTAGCCATCTTTTATTCTGGTGTGCCTTCCTGCAGCCTGAAACAGCCTGATATAGATATACAGATAAACAGATATAGATATTTGCTGTTGTTGCAAGGATTGCTTTTTATTACAGTATTACAGTTCCTGCAATTGTATTCTATTTTTTTTCTAGAATCCCATAGCACAGAAGAGAAAGAAATTCCTTCAAAGTAGCGTTGAATAGAAAATGGAACAATCATATTTTTTAAAAAATATTTTTTTTCTTTTCTTCTCCAACCCTCCAGTCCTGTTTATTTTAAGTCTTTTCCATTGCCCCCTTTCCTATCTAGCCTTTAAAAAGCAAAGTCCCTTCTCACTTGCCTTGTTCTGTCAGTTTTGTCAGTAAATAGAAAGTAAAACAAGGGTTGATGGCACTGAGAGTGTTACATACCCAGACTGTGTTTTTGCATTGCTCTCAATGGAAGCGATCGATGCCCATGTCACAGTGGTGTCCCAATCGCAGCCAAGTCTCTGCCTCAATCTAACCAACAACAGGCAGGGCTTCCAAGGCTGCTGCTCACTACCTCTTCCTTCCATCCATCCACTGAGACATCCACCAAACTCTCAAAGAGAGAATAAACTACAATCTGCTCTTCAACCACCGCTCCTAAGGATCGAGTCACTGGAAATCCTTCCAAAGGGGAATCACAATTTCAAATATAAATATAGGAGATATTTATCCACCTTCAACATCATCAACCCTCTCCTTTTTTTTTTCTCCTCTCTCTCTCTCTCCCTCTCCTTTGCCAGCTACCTGATCCTTGATTAAAAATGGAACAGGGTTAATAATAATATGAAAAAGGCGATCGGAATGGAGGAGAGGAAATGCAACTGTCAGATAGAGGGATAGTCAGACTTCCTGGGTGACCCTGGCGGGGTCTGGCGCAATGTAAATCCACCATCTTCAGCCTGGCAAGTTGTCTTTGGGTTGAGAGGCTTTTTTTGTGGTGGGGAGGGCGGGAACGGGGGGGGGGTGTTATGTTTGCGATGTATGTCTTGGTACCTAAGGTGGAAGAAGAAGAGGAGGAGGAGGAGGAGAACAGGAGGAGGAGGAGGAGGAGGGTGTGCGTTATTGAAGGGGAGCGAAAAAGCCTCCTCGGGACGGCGCGGAGGCTGAACCCGGCTCGCGGAGCCTCCTCTCTCGGCTGGGCCCAGTGCCCCGAGCAGCCGGTGAGATCGAGACCCCCCTCCCCCTCCGGCTAGCAGGTAACAAAAGAAAGACATCAGCGTGCGCTCGGGGGGCGAGGGGCAGGGGGCTGGCGGGCGGGCAGGGCAGGGCAGAGGGGCCACAAGCCGCCAGCCGCCAGCGGTGGGGCAAAGTTTCCCGATCCCCATGTTTACAGGCGACGGTCAGGTTGCAAAGGCAGGGAGGGGAAGCCGAGGCGCGCCTGCCATTGAGCCGCGGCGCAAGGAGGAGAGGTGCACTCGAGGCGAGCCAGACCCGGAGCCGCTGCGGGAGAGGGCGAGGGGCGGACTGGGCTCACACACCGCATTGGGCCGGGTGGGGTGGGGTTGGGGGGGGTGGAGAAAAGAAGCGATGGTTTATTTATACATTTAAAAAAGGAAGGGAAAAAATTGGCCAGGGTCCGATTCCAACAACGCCGGAGCCCCAACTAAAGGAGGGAGAGAGCGCAGAGGAGGGGAAGGGAAGGAGGAAGCCCGCGGCTGCCTTTTCACAAAGGAAAGCGGCGGCCGAAGCTGCCCCAGCCCCAGCAGGCAGCGGCGAGCGGAGCTCCTCCGGCGAGCCAGCTCCGCAGCCGGGTGTGGGCAGGCGGGGCGCAGCGCAGCGCGCTGGGGACGGGCAGCCCGGGGGAGCGAGCGGCGGTGCGCTCCTCTAACGGGCTCCTCGCCGCGCTGCCTGCCGAGGCACTCGCCCAGCCCGGCTGCCGCAAAGCACAGCACCCCGCATCTCCGGCGCGTACACACACACACACACAAACACCCGCGGAGGACGGAGGGGCCCCTCGGAGCCCAGCGCCGCTCGCACACCCCGCGCATCGGAAGCCAAAGGCGCGTCTCTGACCCCAAAGGCACCCCAAACTTTCCCCAGAGGCACCGCGCTCCGGAATCCGGGGTTAAAGGGGGTCGGAGGGGGAGAAGGGAACAGGGAGGCAAGTACTTTTGACAGCCGTGTCGTGGTTCCAAATAAGACCATCGCCCAGCTCATTAAAAGAAAGAAAGGGAAAAAAGAGACACCACCGAAAAGATTCTCTTCCGCCAAAACGTCTAAGGTCCTTCACTTAATCCGAAAGTTACAGCGTGAAAAGGGGGAAAAAACAACCCCGGACACCCCCGCCCGAGCCCCATCCACCCTCCCGGAATTTAAAAGAAAGGGAGAAAGAAGGAACCCCTCCTCCCGTAAAGCGGTACCTAAAAATGGGGAAAGAGGTAAAAAAGGGGGGCGAGAAAGGGAGAGATAGAGAGGATCTGGGGATGGGAGTGTGTGTATGTGTGTGAGAGAGAGAGCGAGAGAGTGAGAGAGGGAGAGGGAGAGAGGGAGAGAAAGAGGCAGGCAGAGAGGGAGAGCGAGAGCGAAATATCAAAGATTGTGCAAGATCAGCCTGGAAAGATAATCGATACTCGACCTAAATTTAACACAAACTACTCAATAAAAGTTAAAGAAAAAACTTACTTTCCATTTCCCCTCGCAGTTCTTACTGGATCTTCGCCTCTCTGTTTTGTTTTGCTTTATTTACTTAACAGCTGATCACATCCAAGTAAACGACAGAAGGTTCATTAAAAAATAAAAAAAATAATCCTCCAACTTTATTGGGTGGAAATAAAAATGATTGAGCAAGAAGTGGGGGGCATGGAGCGGTCCTTTGGGGTCCGGGAGTTGTTAAAGCATGTGGCGACCGCGGTCTCGCTGTTTGGTTGTGAAGGGGTTGGGAAAAGGAGGAAAGGAAATGAAAATCCGATATGTCTTTATTCTGCTAATTATTATCGTTTTAGCCCTGTTTAAAAAAATGGCTGATTAAGTTGAGTGCGCATGTCTTTGTGTGTCTATTCCCGATATGCACTCTGGGAATGAGAGAGAGGGGGGGGGAGAGAAAGAGAGAAGAGAGCGAGCGAGCGAGAGAGAGAGAGAGAGAGGTGTAATTAGTGAGGTGATCAACATTCTCCAGACTGCAAATGACGCGCAGCCCGGACTTACTGCCGCTGCTGCTGGGGGCTCGTAGGGGCTGCGGGAGCCACACCACTGGCCCTAAAGCAGAGCGGGCAGCAGGGAAGCAGCTCGTGGACACAAACACAAGTCTGCAAACTTCATTAGTAACACAGACACACACACAGACACACAAAGTAGATGGCTGGGGAAAATTAAAGAGAGAGAGAAGAGGCAGAGGGGAAGGAAAGAAGATTTGCTGTTCATAACTGCTCAGGAATGTGAAAAGATATGGGTGCAAATTAATTATTCCTCCCACCAGGGAAGTTCTTTCTTTCTCTCTCTCTCTTCTCTCTCCCCCCCTTCCTTTTTTTTTTTTTAAAGGAAGAAAATATGCCTGGGATAATGAATGTGGAATGCGCCTCTGTATGGAAAGAGAGTGAGTCTGAGATCGGAAATTTCTGCTCTTATAGCCATAGAGAATCATTTACATATTATTGAGGATTTATTTGCACACACATATTGTGCATACGGTGACATTATATATCTCTGCATCTGTAGCTCATGTATACACATATGACATATGCATTATTGCATATACACATGGCAGTTTAATCTCCCTGGTGTAACTGGTCCAACAACTCAACAAAAGTAAGTTTATAATAACAAACAGGATTTTTTTTAGTGTAATAGCAGTAGTAAATAGGTTTTTAAAAAACAAATGCTACTCCAGCAGAACTACCTGCCTTTTCCCTATGGAAGCAAAAAAGACAGAGGGTCTATATTTCTCCTTAGATTTACCAGAGATACTGCTTTATATGAAAAGGAAGAGTTGTATTGGTCTATAGACAATAATCCACCGACACCATTATAAATAGAAATCTCCTAGAAATCTTCTCTTGCAAGGGACGGAAAGCAATCGCTTCTCATTTGAAAATCTAATTATCTTAACCTAATACTACAGATGTGATGTGAATATGAGTGACACTTTCATTAAAATATAATTAACTAAAAGTAGGAATCCAGATACTTTTAAATACCCCCTAGTGAAGATTAAAAATCATGTCTATTAAAAGAGCATCCAAACACACCGCAGGGACACCTACTCCCCCTCCCCCAACATTATAGAAATGGAAAGGCCAGAAAAGATCAGTAACTAAGACTTAAATATAAAGGATATTTACAATCCCAAAGACCCTGCGCAGGTGAACCATAACCTTCGTGCTGACGTGCCTTTGAAGTTCCTGATTCCTGGGATACACGTCAAAACCTTGTCTTAGGCCTTAAGCACTAAATACCAACAGAAAGGTTTAACACAATCCTCCATAAAAACAAGGTATAAATATGCATCTTTTAGGGGCCTTAAACTGTCCGATCTAGAGAAACATTTGGCAAATCCTGGAGCTAATACTAAGAGGGAAATATCCACCTGATGATGAATGAAGGGCCTGCCAGGAAAGACACTGTATAGGCCAGAGATAGGGAGACGCGGTAAGAAAAACAGATGTTTTAAGGTCATGGTGAAGGTCCCTTAGACTTGAGAGGAGGGGAAATGCCCACATGGAAGTCCAGTTCTCCGTGGGTAACCAAAACATAGTGAAACTTCGTAGAAACTGAGTGGAAAGTAACCACAGCCAGCAAATTTCAAGATCTGAGCCCAATGATTAATGTCAAAGACAGTGCGTAGAAGGCTTTTGGAGAGTAACTTGTTTTCGCTCGAGAGTTATACCTACTCATCAATGAAATAAAAAGGAAACAGTACTTGGGCATGTTTTGTGCGCGTATCAGAAAGCTGAGTTTCAAAAGAAAGGATAGTCTGTATCGTTGTTTGCAGAGAGGGACCAGCGATGTTAACAATGACTAAAATGAAATTTCCCAACCCCGTTCAGTAAGATCGGGGAACTTAGGACAGAAAGAGGTCTCTTTGGCTCTTATTGAAGCGGAAGGGGAGTCTAAGCAAGCAGAATGCATTGGCCATTCAAAGACATGTCTGAAGGATGGCAGTCCATTTCCTAGCCCTGGAGACAATTAAATCCAGTCTGATGAAGAAACACCTGAGCACAATGCCTCTCGTTCAGATTCAAGAGAAGAAACAGATACAGTTTACGTAGCAGGAGCATAAGGAAACGAAGAGCAAGGTGTTGCAAAAATCCTTGTTTTATATATTTCTACTGTTTTTGGTTTTTTTTTTAAGCAAGGCTGCTAGAAGCTCCGAAGGTCTGTTGACAACACAAGGCATTTTTGATGCACATTTTCTCCTCCCCTCCTTTCGTAGAATGATTGTAGTTTCTTTTTAACAGTGGCGGTTTCCAGCTAAAGGAACAAAGGGGGATGCGAGCAGGAATTGAGGAAGGATAGTCCACTTTCTCCAGGTTTCTTCCAGTACTGTTTATTCCTTCCTAACGTTTTTGTTTCGCCCACCCCACCCCTTCACCTCTGTTTCGGCTTTGTGTTCTCAGCCCCTAGTCCGTCCGTCCCCCCCCCCCCTTAAAATACTAGCTATCTGGATGGAAAAGGCACTCCGGGATGTTAACAGTTTAGAAGAAACCCGGGGATAGCCACGTAGCTAGGAAAAAATCGAAGGAGGTTAATTCCGAGAGGCAGCAGCAGGTTGGATGGCGGCGGGGTGTGTGTGTGTGTGTATGATAAGAGCGGAGCGCGGCTCTGGCAGGAGCACCCCGGGGGCTGGTGGGCTGGCTGGCTGTTTCCAGAGGGTTCCCCCAGAAGCTCGGCCAGAGCTGCAAGCTGCTTCCCCTTCCCTGACTGGCTCGTTCGTCCTCTTGCTCGCTCAGCTAATCGCCCCCAAGACCTATGCCTCACCTCTCCAGCTCCTTCCCTCCCCACCCCCCACCCCAACCCGGTCCCTCGAGCAGCCCTCTCAGGCATACTTATCCTCAGGGCAACCCACCCAGGCACTGGGGGGTTCCTTTCCTCAAGGGGTGCGGTGGGGTGGGAGAGAAAGCACTATCATTTTCCGAGAGACATAGATAAGAGAGATCGTGGTCACGATGCTCTCTGGATTCACACGCGGGGGGTGGGTAGTATGCCCCGTCTCAGATGCCAGCCCCAAGGAGTTGAAGAAGCAACTTCCTGGACGCGGGTT